GCTCTCTCGTCTCTCTCGAAGCACTATTGTACTGCGGTCGTTGTTGCAGCTTGCAGCGTTGTGCGTTGAGTGTGAAACAATGATGTCTATTGCATGCGCTCACTCAATATAAATACGTGGTTGAGATGACACACAAGTGCATGAGATAATTGTATCGTAAATATGCATATTATATGCATCATATTCTCAGTACCATTTTTATCGAGAAAACAACATTCATTGCGGTTGCAGTATTTTTTATATAATTTCTTAGTAATACATGAATGTATCGTTTGTCCGGCGGAAATTCCAATTACAAGTTGCACATGAGAGTAGAAATTTAGAAATATAGAAATTCGTGTATGATTATTGTATATTTGCTGCCTAATTTTTTTTTAGTCAAGATTTTGATTGGGGGGTAAACGAATTTATATTTGCTATCTGAGATTTTTGACATCATTCTCTATCAAGATGTTGATGTGGGTAGACGTATTATTTTTTATTTCAACTTTCACATACGTGCTTTGCAACGATTTCTCCGAAAAAGACGCTATAGTATACCTAACTCAATATGAACATATCATTGATAATACAACAGATCTCTCTACTTTGCTGACTAACTTGCAAGAAAAGTATAATTTACCAGTGGATGGATTGCTAAATAATGCAACAATTGAATTTATGAATCGTCCGCGTTGTCAATACAGTGATGTCGAATTTAGAGCAAGTTTTCCATTTCGGAAACATGACCTGAAATGGTATTTCCCTCGAAACACACCTGCGGCCCAAAAAGATGCAGAAATGGCTTTTCAGATGTGGCAAAATGTTTTAAACTTAACATTTACAATGGTTACCAATCCCACTCTATATCCTCCTGATATTACTATAACCATGGTTAGCAAGACTCATTATTTTAGAGCAAACTGTATGGGTAATGATGAATGTCCATTGACATTAGATGATGCTGGCGGCGTTTTAGGACATGCATACTTTCCTGACTCTAGCGGCACCTGTAGAGAAATCCATTTAGATATAAATGAACGCTGGTATTTTGGAAATAATCCTAATATACCCAAAAATCAAACTAGTTTTCTTATGGTGTTGGTTCATGAAATTGGACATGCTCTCGGCATAGCACATAGTGCTTCTCCGAATGCTATTATGTTTGCCTTCTATCAGCATGAGATTCGTGGTCTAGATATTGATGATATAAATGCAGTACAATATCTATATGGAAGAAAAAACAAATATGATTCAATCCCAAAGTCTACCACCGCATCAGCAATACCAAAAACAACAACAACTATAAGATCTACATCTCGTAAGCAGCCGATCCTCAAAAATTTGTGTGATATTATTCCAGATTTTATGTTTTTAGCCATTGCTCCAGAGTTTTCAAATTACCGATTATATATTGCACATGATATGTTTACATGGAAACTAGACTTAAACGAAATGATTATCCCATCTCAGCCTGAACTTCTTGTCGATTATGTTCCTACAGAATTACGTCAATACACTTTACAACATATTTTCCAATCAACAAACGGTGACTTGATTACCATTGTGTCTCCAGACAAATATTTCTCAGCATCATTCCCTACCATTAAATTTTTTGATAATTTTTCAATTGATATACCCGATAGGGCTCGAATCAATGCTATTTTTCAATCAAACGCAGGACGGTCCTATACCTTTTATAATAATATGTCATATATAGAATTTTCTAACGATTTTACTGATGTGTTGAACAGAGGACGGATAAGAGACATATTTCCTGGGTTACCTGAAGATATTTCTCTCGCATTTCGATGGATTGCTGGTCATATTTACTTTTTTCGTCACGCAACTTACTATAAATTTAATGAATTTACAAGAAAAGTTGTTGCGACCGGGCCATTTCATTGGACTCTATTTGGAGTACCATGCCCCAGCGAGGATTTCTTACATCAACTAAAAACTCTGTTATCTAAACTTGTATCTGTATATCATTAAAAAATACATTTTTCTGAAAGCTATGTTTATTTCGTATTCAGCCTGTTGTCAAACAAAAAAAAAACATTCGGTTCCTTCGACTCCCCACCCCCACCATCATTCTACTACATAAAGTCTGTGTATTAGCAGTAGCAGTGCTACAGTATCAATCATTCAAACCAGTCGCAAGCAATTGTTTTGTTCAAAAAGAGGTTGATATAAAAAAATGGTAAAACCAAAAATAACCAGCGAGGAGGCTAATTACGAGGCTTTTAGGGAAAAAATTAAAAAACAACCAGAACTGAACCGTGAAATACATAATTTGATTCTTGTCTGTCATGAACCAAATCAGTTGTCGAAGAATGATTTGAGTCGATTAGTATCAACATCTAAAGTACTCCCTGATAATTACAAGAATCACTTAAAACAATCATTCAATCTACCTGCACGACCAGAACACAGCGATATTGGTTCAGACGACACTGTAAGCAACTGAAAATTTCATACACACACACACACACCTACACACACACACACACACACACACACACACACCAATCAACCTTATTGTTATATATACTATATGTTTCAATAAAATATCCATTATACTATTTTCATTTTGAACGGTATCATCCTGTATAATAATAACAGTACATCGTATATAGGCTATAAGACATTCTCACCGACCGACCGACCGACCAGAGGAGCCCACCACGCTATTTAGGTCACGCCTTGCTATATACGATTTAACGATATACCGTCGGTCCATCGATCCGCTATTTTTCGATACACCCCTGTATACAGGTTCTAAATGCCCCCCGTAATCCACGCCAACACCAGACAGGTGCGACATCGGCGCCATCTATGCGCGAGATGCCCAACCCATCAATGACAGGTGTCCAATGACACATAGATTCCGTTTGGTTTGTACAGCGCCAGACAACAAATCGGCGCCATCTATGCGCGAGATGCCCAACCCGTGTCCAACGACACATAGATTCCGTTTGGTTTGTACAGCGCCATCTAGCGGCGGAATCCCCAACTCATGAATTTCGCATACAGATTCCATCCAACCCATCAATGGCGCGCGACGCCAGCGCCTCTGGTGGCCGATTTTAGAACTACTGAGATTCAATCCCCATAAGGACACTACTGTCAAGAAATGAAGAAGCTAGTCAACATAACCGCAAAAAGTCGACGTCAAAAAATAAAATCTTAAATGCAAACAATAACAATAATAAGAACCAGGGAAATTCTGATGAATCTGAGGTATTTATAAGTAATAGCCAAGTGCATATTGCGGTGAATGAAGCTATGGCCCAAACCATGTGTTCGAAGTATACTAGCGCCTCAGCACTCACAGCAAACTCAAAAGATAATGGGTGATATGCATAAAGGCGAGTGGGTTCTCAGAAGTAGCTACTCCATATTGTAGCGAGTAACTACTCCTGTTAGGGAGAGCATACTCGGTTTTGATATGCATAAAATATTTGTCGAGAAACGGAGAGGCTACTCAAGTGCTAATGAAATACTTGAGTACGCACTCTGGTTTTCGAGTTCCGACTTGTATTTTGTTGTCTCGTCGAATTGGCAATTTCTCTATTGCGAGCAGTTACTACTGTATACCGGTAAAAGTTTGTGTCGGTGGTGTTTAGGTCGATTATACCTATTCTGAAGACCATTCATCTGAAAATCAAACAGTATCCTGTTTTGTTGGAAAAATCTAACATCCCGGAAATCAAAAATAAACGACGTAAGGCGGCTGAAGAAATAAAAGAAAAGGTAGAAGCCGAATTAGGAGTTAATTATAACGAAGGGCAGATTTGTAAGAAGATTCAAAACATAAAAACCAGATTAAAAGCGAAGACAGACAGATATCAAACCGGAAACAAACCAATAAAATTGAAAGGATGGGAACAAGAACTGTTCAATTTTCTACAAGGAGAACCAAATCCTAGTATTGCTCGATTGCAATGTTAGTTGTATTTTTTTGTTTTTCCATACAGTAGGTATAAGATGTGATTGAGTATAATATATATACATCTCAATGAATATAAATAGCATATATTTTAAATTGTGGGTGCTGTTGTGGCAGGTTGCCCACAAAAAAGCATTGATTACACTCCAGCAGCCTGTGCTGAAGAAGAAACAATCACCGAAGAAGCATCTGGAAGTTCAGGACCAGTACTGAAAGCTACCACAATGAAAGCGGGACCCAGTAAGGAGCCTTCTAAAAAAAGAGGAAAACGGATTAGTGGAAACTGATGAAGCACGAGATTTATCAATAACAGAGCTCCAACGTCTCGTTTTACTTGAACAAATACAAGTGTTTCGGCTAGCTAAGGAACTGCTACTTCACAAGAAAAATATTAATGAATCTGATCCAAATTTATCAACTTTAAATGAAAGTGCAGAAACTGGCAATCCAATTTTCATGAGCCTATTTCCAGGACAGAACTGACAAAAGTACTTCATGTTTCATAAATGTTATTTTTTATTAATTTTAAGAACTTTCTCTTAAGTTGCCATTTTGAAAGTGTTATTAATTTTGTTATGAGTAATTAAACATCGTTCTTCAACGTATATCTACATAATTTGTAAATTTGGATCATGCTAGATACTTACTTAGACCCGATAGCCATGAATAATTCTTGATATTGCATCTCTTCTAAATTGACCTCTCTGACATATCACTCCATCTGCATAGTCAGCACCATGTTGATTATGGATTTCTTCTTGTTCGCCATCTCCCGGTATATCAACAGCAAAATCTTCATCATTAAGGTGCTTAGCCACATTATGCAAGATAAAACAACTCATGACAAGGGAGGGCACTTTTTCTGTATCGACGCGTATTTTGTTATGTGGAATGGGAAATCGCTGTTTTAGTTGCCCGAAACATATCTCTATTATAACTCGCTCTCTCGTAAACAGCCGATTGTATGATCTTTGTTCTGCTGTTTCTGCAATCCTAAAAGGAGTCATGAGCCAAAGAGCTATAACATACCCAGAGTCTCCCAACAAAACAGCACTAGCCCTATTCCATTTCATATATCAGAATTCTTCCATATCCGAGAGTCGTGTACAGATCCTGGCCAAGAAACATCCACACTTGTGAACTCTTCGTTTGAATTGCACGTTGCTTGTACATTTATACTAGCAAAGTTCTTTCTGTTCACATATTCGTTTGCATGAATAAACGGGTTCAGAATAGGTATATGGGTGCAGTCTATAGCACCAATAGCTGAAGGAAAATTGAACTTTTCTTGCCACTCATTTTTAGCATTGTGTAGATCTTCACATGTGGTTGGGAATCTAATCCAAATGCTCGACTTCCGCACAATGCGTGTTATAACGTTGGAAACGGTACGGGATGCCGTAGATTGATGGACACCAATAGCTTCTCCTATGCCAATTTGAAATCCTGGATCACCCACATATCGTAAAAAAACCCTCATTCTTTCTATATTGCTCAAAGCACCGCCCCTATATTCTTCTGTCTCTCCAAGAAAATGGTTACTTATCCACTCAACATTAACTTTACTAAACCGATATAAGGCCCGATAGTCTACTTCCTTTAAACACCTTCGTAGGCTGATAAGTAGGCATAAATTCGGCCATTTCGTTCACTTCTTATAAAGCTGAGTCTACTACTAAGGTATCTCGCATTTCTTTAAGTATGCACTCAGCGGTCAGAGTGGACGCTCACTTTTATGCATATAAAAATTGAAGTCGGCACTCAAGGAGCGAGTACAGCCTCACGGAAAGTGTAGAAACTTATGAGTGTGAGCTTCTACTTACATTTTTATGCATATCAAATGGAGTGGCTACTTTAAAAATGCGAGTCAAAAGTAGCCACTCGCCTTTATGCATATCACCCAATGACATTTTTAAACCAAATAGATCTAATCAACCAAAATCTGGAAATAGAGGCACCGCTGTAATTACGGATGGCCTCTTTCAAGGTGTACCAGGGAAGAAATGGTTATTTGTGGGGAGAGTTGCAGACACAGTGACGACAAATGTAATATCTGATTATATTAAGCAAAAAATTGATGTTGCGGGGCACAAGACTTTGGTAGTGGAGGAGCTCCCTTCTAAATCCATGTAAAAGTCCTTTAAGGTTGGAATTGGTGTATGTTATTATAATGTTCTTGATAATTGTAATTTTTGCCCACATAATGTAATATATTGACCATTTCTATTTCGGAGAAAGTTCCAAGCTGCTCTCAATGTAAATGAACCTACCTCAAATCAGAATTTTCAAGTTGCAGGGATCAACCACGAGACCTAAGTGGGGACTTAAGGTTTTATTATCAGAATGTTAGAGGAATTAGAACAAAAATATCTGATTTAATGTGCAGTATTCTTTCCGAAGATTTTGACATTATTTTGTTGGCCGAAACTTTTTTAAATAGTGAAATTTTGACAAGCGAGTTAGGTCTAGATGGCTACATAGTTTTCCGATGTGACAGGTCTGAAATGACAAGCACAAGTCAAACCCAGGGTGGTGTGTTGGTAGCGATTAAGAATTGTTTCTCTTGTCGTTTAGTAACACCGCCTACTGTAAATGTTGAACAACTTTTTATCAAACTGACTATTGGTTGTCACAAGATTTTATTGGGAAATTCGTATATTCCATGGGTTTCATCAGTTGACATTTATGAAAGCTTCTGTTTTTCCCTTATACACCTGTTCGAGTCAGATGATTTTACTGATATTTTTGCCTGGGGTGATTTTAATCTTCCTAATGTTTTATGGCAAAAGTATGAAACTGGGTCAGTTCCTACGGGACTGTTAAGAAGCGAAGTAACAGCCATTGCAGACTGTATAGCTTATCTAAGGTTATACCAGTTAATAACTATACCAAATGTTTATGGAAACTTTTTAGATTTAATGTTCTGTAATCATCCAAATGTAAATGTTAATGTGTGTCCCCAACCTTTGTTAAAACTTGATTTACCGCATCCAGCATTTGAGTGGTGTTTTAAGCTTAATAATTCAGACATATCCCCATTGTGTGATTACTTTTACCTAAATCTGCAGATTTTAACCAAATAAATATTTGTCTGTCATTTGTTGTCTGGAGCTTTTTCTCTGAATGTGATGATGTCAATGTTGTAGTTTCTATGTTTTATGAAATCTTGGATCAAATTTTTATTCAATTTACACGAGTTTCCAGATTTAAAACACCTAAATTTCCAAAATGGATGAATCATGAATTAAAAAATCTAATAATTCAAAAGAAAATGCCTCACAAAATGTTTAAAAACTTAAAAACAGAAGAAAACTATATAAAGTTTTCAAAATTAAGATCACAATGCAGCATTTTATCCAAGAAATCATATCAACAATTTATTCAAACACTTGAAGGCCAACTACATGATAAAAAGTCCTTTTGGAAATTTGTCAATTCCAAAAAGGAGGATCTTGAATATCCAAAATCCATGTGTCTTAACGATGTTGAAACAGATGATCCACAGAGATGTCTAAACAGCATTTTTCTTCTGTGTATTCAGAAAAGCAGGGCTCCTATATTAATCAAAATTGCAAGTCTGACAAATGTACTAATTTAAGTAGTTTAAGTGTATCTTCTATAGAAGTTTTTAATAAAATTGAGTCCTTGAGTATTAACTTAGGAGTTGGTCCTGATGGAATTCCGGCAATTTTATTACAAAATTGTAAATGCGTTTTATCTGATGTTTTATGTAAAATTTTTAACTTGTCACTTGTCACGGGTATTTTCCCCACTGTCTGGAAGAGGTCATATGTAACACCGGTTTTTAAGGAAGGGGATAAGTCAAATATAAAAAATTATAGAGCTATTTCTAAGATCTCAGTTATTGCTAAGGTTTTTGAGTCCATAATTTATGACAAAATATCTCCATGTGTCAGGAATATTATAATTAATGAGCAGCATGGCTTTATTAAGGGAAAATCAACTGTCTCAAATCTCCTAACCTATGAGCACCTTCTGTTGAATGCCTTTGAGAATAAATATCAAGTGGATGCTGTATACACTGATTTCTCAAAGGCGTTCGACAGAGTTGATCATGGTATCTTGGTAAGCAAGCTGAGGTCAATTGGCATACATGGCACTCTACTTACATGGCTTGAGAGTAATGCAACACATAGATACCAAGTGGTTAAGATCAAAAATTATATATCCTCAGAAATTAGTGTTACATCGGGTGTTGCCCAGGGAGGCCATTTGTCTACGCTTCTATTCAATATTTTTGTGAATGATATTAAGGATATTTTTGTTAATTGTCTTTTTCTTGGCTTTGCGGACGATTTAAAAATTTTTAAGATTATTAGAAATACGAGTGATTGCCTCGCTTTGCAGGAAGATTTAAATAGGTTTTCTCATTGGTGCAATGTAAATAACTTAATGCTAAATACTGATAAGTGTAAAGTAAACCTTCTGTAAAATTAAAAATCCAATAGCTTTTGAGTACTCACTAAAAAATGCAATTTTACAGAGAACAAACCTAGTAAGGGATTTGGGTGTGTGGCTTGATTGTGAGTTAACATTTGTGTCTCACATTGAGAAAATAACATCAAGAGCTATGCGTCTTTTGGGATTTGTTTTTAGAAGTGTTAGGGATGTCAATAATGTTTTTATTGTGATAGATGTCTACTGTGCTTTAGTAAGATCATTATTTGAATATGCCAGCTCTGTTTGGCATCCTTATTATGCTGTGCACAGAGATAGTATTGAAAGAATCCAAATAAAATTTCTTAAGCGAATAGTGCTAAAGCTTGGCATTCCTTATGATGACATTAATTGTCAGGACCTAATGACTCTACTGAACTTAACGCCACTTGTAAACAGAAGAGATATGTTTGATATTTGCACACTTTTTAAGATCATTAACAATCAAATTAATGCACCTGATCTCCTTGCTCTGGTTGGTTTTCACATGCCGTCAAAGGAGTCAAGAAGTAAGTCATTATTTCATATTCCATATCATAGGACAAATTATGGTGTGAATTCTCCTATAACTCGAATGTGTATGAAAGCAAATAGTGTAGTGCAGAAGTGCAATAAAATTGACTTTTTCAATGATAGTTTTAGGATTTTTGCGAATAAAGTGAGAAATGTAGTACAGTAATAATTATAAGATTAAACGAACTTACCTAAGTGAAGTTTGATCGTAATTATATGACCGTCTCTTCCGAATAGATCACTATGTAGTTCACTCTCGCCGCTAGGTGGCGCCACGCATTCCAAAGCTAAATAAAATAACATCTGACCGGTCCTACCCTCGCGTACCACCGAACGCTGTTGATGATTCATTATTTCAAAGCAGTAACTGTTGCGTTAGAATAGATCACGGGTTCTGGGAGGGAGGGAGTGATCTATTCGGAAGAGACGGTCATATAATTACGATCAAACTTCACTTAGGTAAGTTCGTTTAATCTTATAATTATATTACCCGTCTCTTCCTCTAGATCACTATGTAAATGTTTAAAGTTGATTCTGCAACAGTTACAGGAGAATAAAAGAAAGAGGGAAGTAGTAACTACTCTCTTTAATCTCCAACATTCTTATGAGAGACAACCATCCATGTGCGAAAACTTATTCTAACTGTTACAACTGTAAACTATTCACTATAGTCTGAGAATTGCGTCTGCAAAATTGTCAGTATTTTTTAAAGGTCTGTTATAAAATCTTGCAAACAAATTTGATGACGAAGTCCAACCTGCTGTATTGCGTATTGTATCGATGTTGATACCCCTATTGACAGCTGCTGACGTGGACGCGTGTCTAGTACTATGTACTGTAAAGATCGATGTGTCAATTCCACTTTTGTCCAGCACTATGCGAATCCAACGACTAATGGACTGTGCCGTTGCTTCCTTATAAGGTTTCTTATGAGTCAGAAAAAGTTTCGAGAGCTTACCAGACTGCCTGAAATCTCTGGTTCTGTTCAAATAACATTTAAGCGTACTTGCTACACATAGTTTTGGGTTATTGTGAAAAAATGGCAGTATCAGTAAAGGTTGGTATCTATTTGGGGCTGAGGTTTTAACCCTTGCCGGGACTTTTATTTCTATTTTTGATTCCGATATTTCGATATTTGGTACCTCTATAACTGAAAATGTTTGTACTCTGTGTGCCGTAACCAGGGCCATCAACATCGATAATTTATGTGTCTGCCTCTGGACTAATTGTATTATTAGGGTAACATGTTTCCAGATAACCTAAAACCACAGCCGGATCCCACGTTGCATGATATTTAGGCAAAGGTGGTCGTAATTTGAAAACGCCTTCGAAAAATCTTTTGATATGGTGGTCTTCGCCAACTCGAGGTGAAATGAGTAAGGATAAAGCCGATCTTGTTGCATTCAACGAACTATATGATCGGCCTTGGCCATACAAGCGCGACAAGAAACATGGTATAGCCTGGCTATTTAGTTCAAAACAGTTTATGTTACGTTGGTGACAGAATTC